CGTGGTGGTGGGCTTAGTTGCGGCGGTGGCAAGGCGCAAGGCTGCGCGGCGTTGCTCTTGGGCGCGGAGGCCTGGCGACTGCCAGGATTCGTCCGAGAGTTCCTCGGGGGACACGTCCTGTCCTTCGACAATATACTCCATAGCGGTGGACAGCTAGGAGATGGGCGACGAGGCAGCGGCGGGCGGCCGGGCGGTCGCTCCGTCTGTCAGCTGATGTGCAGGCGGCCGCACTCGAGCTAGGCCTAAGAGGCCTAGGTCGGTGCACGGCGTGGTCGAAGGCTTTCGAAAGCTCTCCCGGGCCACCCCGGGCGAGTTTCGCAATAAAGTGGGTGTCGAAGAAATCCAGACAATGTGCTCCAGCCACCCGTGAAGAAATTATCCGGATAGGGTCGAAAGGACCGACGCGAGGGCCGAAAATTGGCGGAGCCGAAGTGAGGTGCGACTGCTCTCGACGGTGATCCGCCCCCCTCCTCCCTACAAGATAGAGCGAAGGCTGGTCTCAAAGTCTGTAGCAAAGAGGAGGGTGAGCTGTCAATTACATTGCATCTATCTTTTCATATTTAGGGACAGATTACGGTTTTGTGTGACAGCACTTCTGTGTTCATTTAAGTTCTCTAAAATGTTGATTTAAAACATTAAATCTAAGCAAACCATGAATTGCTTGTTACGCATGCATGTCGTCAAGGAAATGAGCATTAAGTGAAGCTTTTGTGGGCTCGCAAGTGCTAATGTGCTACAAAAGAGTGCCGTGGTGAAACTCTGGCTCATGATGACTGGCACAGTGAGAAGCAAACAAGATTGATAGGCGTAGACACTGGTAAGTGCGTGCGTATACATGCGTGTGTGTACGCACGTGCATGCGTGCTTTCGCTCTGCGTCAGTAGTCTGGCTTTAACTTATATTGGTTTGTGTATTTTTGGGGTTTATTGTGCTCAGGAAACGTGGTACTCATTACACAGAAGTGCCAAGCAAAGGAAGAGCCCTTGTGGCACCTTTTATCGTGTAATATGGCTAGCCTAATTGCACGCTATTGGCATGCTACCATCTTTTGTCCCGTAAGATGGTGGAATGCCAATAGTACAATTCTGTGGGATCACTGAACTTGCCATGTCAGGACAATGAGAGGGTGAGGCTCATCTTTGTTGGAGACACCAAGTCCATGCCTTTCACAGGTGATTTCTTTCAAAGAAAAAAGGGCATTCGAAAGAACAGAAAGGTGACCATATCAGGGGACTTAGTTCAGACATGCAATTGGAGTGTGTTGTCCCAAAGGCTGTTCCAATTGCATTTTACAGTGAAAGCTGTTATGAGATGAAAACTCTAGTCACTGGGGTGCTGTAGTTGTCCGCTACCGTTGATGTCCGTAACCACATCGCACAAAATTAGAAAAAAAAAACTAGTACCAATGACAGAGCCTAGTATTCAACCACTGAGCCACGCCGGCGCTTGGGACTTCTCGGCAAACTTGCCTTAGGCAGACTTCATGTCGGGAAAGCAATTGCGTTAAAGGGGCAGAAATGAAAAATTCATTAAAAAAACTGACGTATTTGGTTTCTGTATTTTTCTATCCACAAATTTTCACACACCAGGAAGTGGTAATTTGTTTGTAATGTCATTCTAACTGTTCAGATTCTTGGTGCTGTTAACATGCCAAACCTGCAAAAAAAAGGGGGGGGGGGGAACCGACTTCGAGGCTTATTTATAATTTTCCGGCACCTGTGCTAGAAGCTCTGCTACAAATTCATGAGGACCTTAATGAGGATTGCAAAACATGTGCACCATGGTTGTTGTTTTTTGAAGAAGCCGCGTGTTCTCAGATCTTTCTATTCTTCTCAAAAAAGTAAATTTACCACTGTTCAATTTTGAAGTGCCTTAATATCTCTGCAGCTAGGGCAGGTACAACAATTATTCTTTTTGCAATAGAAACCTCTGTTTGTGTAGAATGGAAGTATGGGAGCAGAGTTTAGAGCACAAGCCTTTTTAATTAATTACTCATCAAGTAACTCAAGTCCTGCTACTTTTGAAAATTGATAGTTCTTTTTGCTGTAAAATAACGAAGAAAGGCCTAAAAACAAAAAAAACTTGTATACTTTCAATCTATAATCATTAGTCTACATTGGAATATCCTAAATATGACTTTTAATTAAGCACTTTTTTCTATGGCAGCCTTAAACAATAGGAGGTGAAGTTATCTTGGGAACAAGATGACTTACAGGAAAAATAATTAAATATTTGAAATCAGAAGAAAAAACTGCATAATCCTGTACAGTTTGATCAAGATGACTGAAGTTATTAAAAAAAATGTTCAAGACCAGTCTGCCCCCTTAATACAACTTGTAAAGCGTTTTAAAACAGAAAAAGAACAACCAGTCGTTGCTCCATGCAAATAGCGTAACAGTGGGCCGTCCAATGCTCCAACCCATTGCAAAAGCTTGTTTTTGTTCACCTATTAACTGTGGCGCACACCCGCTTCAGGCATAATTCTTCATCGTCGTCAGCCATGGCATGAACAATTGACAAAAAATCCCTTGCAAGTGTTTAGCGCATACCACATTCTTCTGAGTTACGTGATATCGGGTCCAAAATATACAATTTGTCAGTATCATTTAAGCTCTTAGCAATGAATGCGATAGCAACAAATTGTATTTTTATACCAAATAATAAGGCTTGACGTCATCCATGATGAGTGCTAGTGGTGGGGTCGCCACTTCGAAGGTCCGCGCACCTTAAGAACTCGATGCATGCGCAGTGTTCGATATCCGTGCAACAACTTGTATGACTAGAGACTCCCGAAACACCTCTTGCATGCCGATGCACGTACAGATAGAATCAGACTTGCCTAGAGGGCCCAGCCGACCGCTCCAGCTGCCGTTCTATTTTAGAAATATTTAAAGAGAGACATCGTAATTATACCAAACATGATAAAACTACGTGTTAGGCCCTTGTGCTATAATGTAAGCGTCAACGGAAGCTTGTAGGTAACGTAATATAGAAGCCACGGCCAGTAACAGTGTCGACAGGCACGCGCTTCGCAGTTCTAGATAAGTTTGATTCTTTCTGTACAGCACGAACAGCGTGTACGAATGGACTTCCGAAATGGTGCAACTATGGTGTACCCGTTTTTATTCATCATTCACTACTTAATTAAAATTATTGATAAATGTCTCGTCAAAATGAACCACCCTAATTGTTGGAGGACTGTCTATGCTATTTGAAAACGGTATGATCTCAGTGTGCTCGAAAATGCACCTGAGTTTCCCTTGAAGACATAATGGTTGTTATTATGCCTACCTGTGAGTGCATACCAATTGCATAGCACGATAACATTTCGCGCTGTAACGGTTGACTGCAACGCTGAACTTGCAGACGCGACAATGTGCCGCAAACGGATTTCTGTGATTTTGATAAGTGGGAAGATCGGTCCTTAGGGTGTCGCACAATGCAGCGATACCCTAAAGACCGATCATAAGCAAGAAACGAAGGCCAGGTGGGGACCACCGACAAACACGCCAGTATGACTTATTGGCAACAAAAAGCTTTACCACAGTAAGCATCTCCCGCTATCTGCTAAGGCATGCATCTGGGGTAGCACCACTCTAAGCCTGCTGCACACTTATAATAGGCGACTACCTGAATGTGCTGGGCCGACGATTGCTGCCACCTCATTGTGTGGGACCGTGTTCAAGCGCGCACCCCTTTGTAGAAACATAAGCAGCTCGCTGTCACAGAATTTAGCGTTGCAGTTCGTGGGCATCGAGAAATTTCTCAGTACAGTCAATCTCAGGTGAATCGAACTCGATCGTATCTAATTATTCACTAGATGAAACAGTTGATATATCCCCTTGAATTTCCCATGCAAAAGTATGGGACTGTTGCACGTGTATATCAAACTCCTGCAGAGCGTAATATCCGATATATTGAAGGCTGCGCAGGGTCAAAGCCCAGAAAGTGCATTTATTCTGGCAAAGATTGCTCATTTTTCGGCCACGTTCTAGGAATTAGATCTCTCCTCGCGCACAGGTGACGAAAAGATGGTGCGATTCATTGGTTCCACAGCGTTTGCGATGCATCGGCACGTGATGTACGATCTCTTGTAGGTTTTAACACAAGGACACAGTGTTTTCAAAGGGGCCAATTGCTGAGGGCACCAAAATCACTTTTCCACGGGCACCACAATCAGATGAATTCAAAGGGACTCAGCGGCATCGTCGCGATGTGGGCATTCCCTTTCTTGTTTGCTTACGCATGATGGCATGCGGGCCCGAAAATCATGGCCTTTGAAATTCGCAACCAAGTTACGTATTTTTGTTATTTTGGTTATAAGATACAGATTTCGGCAGCTACGATTTTTTTTTTTTTTTGCTGCTGTTACAATGCCCCTCGTGTTATCGCGATTACAGAGACATCAGTGGTGGGGTATGTGGTCGTTTTGTTTGTTGTTTGTGGACAGCATTGTCACTTTCGGCTTGTGCACTCAGTAGGTTTGGTCTCTCTTTTAGGGCTGAATCTTCTAACAGCCGTCAAACTAAACATTGGGTCACTCGTAGTTATAGAAGTAATGACTGGTGCTAGGAACATAGTTAAGAAAGACACCGTTGTGCTCAGTTTTCTCGTGGGCTTTCGTGACAGGTGATGACTTAGTGAATGTCATCTTAGCTGACAACAGTGTACGGTGCCTTAGTGAATTTCGCTGCTAATAAGCATTTCCAGGTGCCACCTGAGACGGTAGTACAGAATAGTACAGAAAGTGACTTTATCGGTGCCGATGACATCATTGTTTTTGACTGCATCAATGTTGATATCATAGCTGATGTTACTGGTGCCGTGGAAGTTGACATGTGTGGTTATGAAAATGCTGACTCCTCCAGTAAACAACATTTTACCGCGCTACAGAGCTTGCATCGGTGCACACCATCAATCAACATTGTTGTAGCTGAAGGAGCTGAATTTTCTTATTTTGAAAGCTTCAATGCTCAATTAATGAGGATGATTTGATGAACATGACGGCGTACATAAGGCAAGGCAAGTGTACAGAATATTTTCACGCGAAATTAAGTGCGGTAACTTGCAATAGAAGTTGTCGCCTTTTTTTAAGCCTACTGTGAGCGTGTCGTCATGTTAGCACTTACTACGGTTTCCGAAAGGCATTTTAGAAGTTGCAATATAATAATATAAGCCCTAATTACGCATATTTCTTGTGTCAAATTATCGATATATCGGAGATCGACTGTATTAACGCTAACATGCGCACGGTACAGCAAGTGTAGCGCTAACCGTTTTGTGCTATTAAGCGCCTGCCCAAATGCGCCTTTCTCCGCTGCCAAAACTACTACAGCATCGCTTACAAAAAGCTCGTTATCAGCACGTTAACCCAACAGACTACTCTCTGTATCTGGGCATGGTCTAAAGCAGAGTGGGCGTATTCCACAGCAATTGGATCAGCGGTAACAGCAGCCACACAACTAACTAGTAGACACTTCGGCTTTTAGCGACCGTACTACGTTTAGAAATAACTCAGTTTTTGCTTTGAAGCAGACCGCGGAACATATGTATTGCAGATGGCAAATTATGCCCGTTCTTTCACTACACCGCGCTGCGTATCCTGGACCCTGCAGTAGTTTTGAAACGCTTCTTGGCATCGCCACTCCGTGCTATCAGACTGTCGTGCCAGAGTGACAATCTTTTCTGCACTTTGGCAAAAAGAGAAGACTGGCTTTGTGGTGGAAACCTAAAGCAACATTTGCTGTGGCACTGTATTTATTTCTTTGTTGGCGGCGGTGGCACATGTCAGGAGATGAAAATTTGTAGGTGGTAATGAATGCGTAGTACATTTAGTGCATAGGTATGCTGCCATTTCCGTCACATACTTATTAATGAGGTTTCACTGCAAGTGAATAAGCTTGAGCCTATATAAGGCTGACAGTAAGGGCAAGCATGAGTAGATATGACCACAAGTCGATAAAAACTGATGGAGCTCACTCAAACTCACTCAATAAATATAGTCGACTCCCATTTATATGAAGTTCATGGGAACCACAAAAACTTCGTATGAACGAAGTTACAATTAAGCAAAATTAACAAAAAAGTGCACATTTATTGCTTTGAACCTGACTGTTCTCTGAAAAAATAGTTTCGTCATCTTCTTCTCTTGCCAAACCTGGCTGCTTCATGTCCCGAGCAGTTGTCGGTCCCTTTAAGCCCACCAAAATTTTACTCACCTGGACTCTCTCATACTCACAGCCCGGTCTGATTCTGATCAGTCTGTGCGAGTCTACTCATGAGCGAGTTTGCGGACATTTGTATTATTCTAATGTTTTTGCAGTCCTTTCCATCATAAGTCAATAGTCGCTAGTATAGTAATGTTGTACTTTGCTGTGCATGCATGTGTAGTGTTAATATTGCCCCTCTTATTGTTTTATTGGCAGACTAATTTGCCCTTTCTGCCCACAGATGAGGCCGCTACAATTCGAGTGACTAACCTGTCTCAAGATGTGCAATACTCTGATCTACGGGATTTGTTCCGGCCCTTTGGTCAGATCGCTAGAATTTACCTGCCCAAGGACAAGGTCACTGGCCAGTCGAAGGTATGTTTTTAGCATTATGTGAAGCAAGCGAGAGCTGTACAGATCTGTTGTACAGCACGGACCATTTAGTATAACGTAACCATTTACAGTGCAGTTAATATGGTTTTTTTTCTGACTCTCGTGTATCTCTCATTGGACTCCATATGTATGCATACAGCTTATTTTGAAGTCCCCCGAGGTGAAAAACTGGTTATAATGCGGTTGCCGGAAAATGCCTAGACATGCAGGGAGCGAGCTTGCTTTTCAGAGAGAGAGAGAGAGAGAGAAAACTTTATTAAAAGGTCAGTCAATTGCTCAGGCATGGCCCGTTGCCCCTAGCTGTCGGCCGGAATCCCTTGGGACGCGGCAGCAGCAAGGGCTTGACTGATGATGTCGCGCTGGACGTTGGGATCTGGGCTGCAGAGCAGGGCCTCCCAGGATTCTACAGTGCGAGAACCATCGTTTAGACTTGGACATGTCCACACCATGTGGACCAAATTCGCTACCTCATCACAAAATTTACACTGGGACTGGAAAACTGCGGGGTGCCACTTGCTGTAAAGTGCGGGGTTTGGAAAAACCCCGGTCTGTAACTTTCGCCACAAAATCTCGTTTTTCTTACTTAGTGAGTTGTCCGCTCTCGGGTACACTTGCCGATTCAGCCTGTAGTGTGCGATGATTTCATGGTATGTGCGCATATACTCGCTTCTTTGTTCGGTAACTTGGGAGGTTCCAGGGGTCGACCGGTAGGTGAGACCTCGGGCGACGGAATGAGCCTCCTCGTTCCCTCTAAGGCCTTGGTGAGCTGGAGCCCAGACAAGCAGAATCTGCTCTTTGGGTACTCCTACCATGTTTAATATACGGACGGCAGTCTCCGTCACCCTTCCCGATTCGTAATTTCTCACAGCGTTTTTGGAGAGAAGCGCAGATGCGTCGGCGTTGGCCGGTAAGAGAGCAGCAACGGCATTGCTCTACTATTTTTAACCTTTTTTTTTAAAATAGGCACCATGGCCGTGTCCCAACCGCGAACATAAACTTTGTTTCACGCGTGCTGCCCTCGATTTAGCTCGTGAGTGTGATCTGTTCTACACCTGATCACTGTGTTGTTACGGCATGCCTCATTGCAGCCCACACGCTAGGCTTAACGAACGCCAGCTGCCTCATCACTAGTGGCCACAGACTATCCAAGTGGTGGTTTGGGGCCGAGTGAATGAAACATGTCACACTTGTTATATATAGAAGGGGTGACTTACCTCTTTAATGAAGATGAGGGCCTGTGTGTGTAACACTCGGGTAGCAGTTTGTGGCCGCCACTGTTTTTGAAATTGCACAGGCGTTAAGAAAATGGAAAGCATGTGGAAATTTTAATTGCCGTTTACCGTACAGTTTCTGCACATTGTGGTATCACGGCGAAGTCCACATGAACGAGGAGGTCCGAAAAGTTAATTAGCGGCTTTCTGTTAGGGCACTTTTTTTTTCCACGTTCATGACGGCACTGCAAGCCCGCAAATGCTAACCGGTCAATATTATTAAACTTAAGCTGATGCTAACTTTTGTCTCGATCGCATGTACTGATAGTTGAAACCGCATGGTTGTTTCTTAGTCAGTTTTTATACACGTGCAGCCTTTCAAAAATGTTGTTTTGCTCATAGCGCTTTACCGCTTATAGTGCAGATATTTGCAACTTTGGCAACTTACGTTTAAGAATAAGCGGTCTATTTTGTAATTACTATGTTCCAAATGTGTATCTAAAAGACTTCTTAAAAAGGCTATATTCAGTTTAGTATTGTGATTAAAAGGAAAGATGCCAATATGATCAGAATGCACACAGCAAAGCCCAGTTACACTGTTTCAACGGACCAGAAAAAAAGCCAAAGTTATATAATTACGAAGTTTTCCTCTCAAGCTCAGAAGTGATGTTGAAGCCATATAATAATTTTGAGGTACTATACCACCGTGTATGGCATTTAATATACTCAAATCTAGGCAAACCCTAATTCTAAGCCGACCACGCAAAAGTTATGAAGAGTGTATGCTGAGGATAAAACCTGCGTAAGAGACGAAACATCTGCCATCTTGTTAATAATTACGTTAAATCAAAGTGGTCTTATGATAACTGGTTACAAAGAAGGTTTAAAAAATTGTTTCTCTAGTTCACAGCTATCTGACTTGAGCCGATTTGTGCTGCTGTTTTCAGCCACCTGTCAAACATGATTAGTTTCGAGCCTCAGGCAAAGGAATGCTCCACCGGCATACCAGGAACAAAGCTAAAAACTTAAGGGACAAAACAGATATACAGATACAGTATAACCTTATTACAAGAGACCCCCATAGTGAAGAGGATTTTGGTCTGTTGTAATAGGAGTATGTAAAATACTCCTATTCTGCTTATTGTCTGCTTATTGTGCGTCGGGAGGTCACGGCTGTCTTAAATCGCACTACTTAGTGACATTCTCGCGCTCGTTCTGTGTTCACAAGCTGTTAAGACAGGTGCAAGCGGAAGTTCAGTCTTCAGATTACGATCACGCACCGTACTCATCGCGAACATCGCACTAGCGCATCTCGAACAAATTGTCATAGTGTTGACTCATTGGCAAGAAGGTTCTGCTTATCAGTGCTTCGGACCTTCCGACAAAGACAACCGCTGGACAGATCTTTGCGGCCATACGCATTGCAGCCGCGCTTTCTGCTCGAATTCGTGTCTAGGCCTAACTCAATCTGCCCCAAACTTGGCGGGCAGAACCGTCGCGCTAGCGAATGTGTGAAAGCGAAGAAGCCGTACTGTGTTTCATCACAAGCAACAGATCACATCAGCCGCTGGCTCCTTAGCACCACTAATCATTGGTAGCGCATTGGTAGAGGACACCAGCCAGGCTCGCCAAGCACCAATTACGCTGCGCGCGAATTTTTTGTCGCTGTAGCTAAACATAACTCGTCACTAACAGATCAGAGATATACGACTTTCGTTCTTAAATTTGTACGGCAATATCTGCGGCCCTATTCCCATCCCCAAAGTATGCTAAGCGATGTTTGAAGCTAGAAGTTATTGAATTTGGGATGTCCGTGGTAGCAAAGTTTGCTGTAAAGGAGTCCTGGCCACCTTGCTGGCCTCACATTTTAGTGAATTATATCCAAATGTCCATTGTACCCGAATCCGTAAAAAACGAAGCTCAATCAAGGGAACAAATAAGGAGGTCGGCGTAACACTGCATATTAGTATGTAGTAACTGAATGTCTGTTGTAAGCAGATCCGTTGTAACGAGGTTATACTGTATGTGGCCCCCTCCCTCCCCCAAGCAAGGGGGGGTTGTAAACTTGAAAAGCTGTTCAGTTGCAATGTGATTCATTTTGATTTATTGCACGGATGATGTTCTTCTTAGCAACATCTTCTCCTAAACTGTGTGGAGAAGCCCTTTTGTGGAAAGTTAAAAGGTGGAGAGCATATGATAAAGAAGATTGCTTGAGAAAGTGGAAAGCGGTATCTTCCGTTACAGTTACTGTGTACAAAAGTAACAATGTTACAGTTACAAGTTTCTCTAACTTAAAAGTATCTAAAGGGGACTCTCGTTAAATAGAACATGAATGGCCCAAGAAAATGTGTTCCGTTTAACAGAAGTTCCATTTAACAGCTATCCGTTTACTGATTCTTGTGTGGTTACAGTTACAAGTTACTGAAAATAGTAACTAGTTATCGGGGTGACGTGTGACTACTAGTAACTGTTCAATGCCCAAGACTGCCTTACCAGCCCTGAGGCTAAGCTGATGTGCCTGTCAGTTGCCCCTGCCTTGAAGGGACCTTCAAATTGTGGCCATAGTTGTCTCGCTGTCAGCCTTCATAGCACGATGATCTGCTTGCTTAGCCCATCAAAAAGTTTTCTTTAACAATTTGCTGGTTGTAAAATGCAATTTAGGAAATTTCCCCTAGTCATTTACTTTTAATGGACTAAAGCTCATTGTACCTTAGGGTGGTGCTGCTACCCCCAGGTTAGTTTCCTTTGCTTTTGACCCTAGGGGGACAAACAGGAGCATGGCATGAAAACTGTGCCTTTCATAAGAAACCTACTGTCTTCACGTATCCACTGTTTGTTTTAAAAATCAGTTGTAATACTATTGACGCCCTCTAGTCTCTCTCATTGTTGTGGCTGTAGTTTAGTTTTATCATGTCATATAGTTGTAACCTAAGGTTAAATTTTAGGTTGCAGTTATATTTTTCTATGCATGTTTTTATTTGTACAAAAATTGCTGATTTGGTTTTCTTTTCTTGCAGGGATTCACATTCATCAATTTTCTGCACCGTGAAGATGCTGCACGAGCTATTGCTACTGTCAATGGCTATGGATATGACAACCTCATTCTTTCTGTGGAATGGGCAAAGTAAGAGTGCAGCTGCATCACTGTACTGTACTTAATTGTAACCATATTATGCATAACCGACCCCGAGAGGTTGTGGAGTTGGATATTAAACATTGAGATGTGATTTTACTTCTGTTGCAGTAGACTAATAATGCAGTGAGAAGGGTCTGCTTTATTGGATGTGTGTGTGCTATACAAAATTAGAGCCACGCTATGTTGCAAGGTGAATTTTGTAGGCTTGTGCGAATATTTGAATGCTTTGAGTATTTGTACCAATAGTAGAGTATTCAAATTTATTTCAGTTAGAATTTAAATTATTGAAAATTTCAAAGTTTGCAATGAACTAATAAATGTATATCAGTCCACCCATAATCACCTGTAAAGGTGGCTTCACTGCAGAGTAGAGATGTTAAACCATGAAAGAATCTGTCTAAGGGAAATCCGCTCTGCCCCGAAGCCCCACTTCAAATTGAAAGGAGCTCTGCAACACTCAGCATGGTGAGAAAACGCTGCCGCTCGGTGGTCGAGGCCACCAAGAACACGTGAGCCAAATATTATAGTGCAGGATGTTGCCTGCATTTCACAATAAATTCTCAAAGTCAGTTAAAAATTGCTCACTTTTCTGAGCAAATAACGCCACAAGCTCAAAAATCAATCGGCACAGCCGTTGTATCAGCCATTGCCTGGTTTGAGCACGGCGCGCTCGGCCTTACTGGGGCCGCCGCGGGAAGCCGCCTCTTGTACAGGCGTAAGTGAACAATCTCCGTGAAAAGCAGCATACTCAAAAAGAAAAAAAGAGAGAGAAAAAGTGCTCAAAAGTCATGATGCACGTGTGATGTATTTTCTTTCCCCATGCCATCCCTCCATGCTTTGCCTCCAGCGCTTTCGTCTGAACGAGAAGAGAGAATGCAGTTACAGCGTGCGACAAATCTCTGAAACTCCGCTCATACTGGAAGGATTCTAAAAATTTCTGTCGTGGTGAATTCGGGATGCAATAAGTTTCTTTAGTGAATTCATTCTATAGCTACTTGAAGAAGTGTTGCAGGGCTTAATTAAATGAACATATTACTGTCAAATTGATTCGTCATTTCTTTAAGCTTAAAAGCATATGACGGCTTGTATGCTTTAATATGAATATTTAAATGTTACATATTTTTTATTATCACTCGCATCATACTGAAAGTCAGATCCTGCTAATACTCCGTTGTTTTTACTTCCTTTGAACGAAAAAAAAAATGGCATTTGCATGGAGGCTTTATTTTTAATTAAAAAAGTATTGTGCAGGTTAGTTAGGTCATGAGAAATATGCCCATTTTTTATATGCCATACATATATATACTATTCGAATTCGATTTGAAGTTATTCGACCAACATCACTATTCGCTTTGAATTCACTTAGAACCTGAAATTCATTATTCGCACAAGCCAAGAATTTTATGTATTACTGCTGAAGGCATTCACAAAAATGAAAGCACTGAATTTATAATACATAATGAACAGGCTTATGCAACAAACTTACAACCACATGGCATGGTGCCTTGCATGCAGTTTTCCGTTTTTCAAGACACTGGCTGCCGAAACTTACGCCTGCACGTAGGTTTGTGGTACTTGGTCTAGCTTGCTCTCATGATCTTTGGTCCAAGCACCAATTAGTGGCAGACATCTCATGATTGTCTGTTGTTCACCATGTTTGCTTTGACTGTAAGGATTGACTTGTGCTGCTTCGTTGCCTGTCTTCTATAGAAGTCATAGTTTAGTGTTGTGTTGACGCAAGTCTAGTTGCAGCAGTCGTACGGCTTTTGGAAATTAAAAAATCATTTCAAAGAAGGCTAAAGTTTTCGGTATGACTGAGCTAAAGGGCACTATCATAGCTGCTGCTTTTTCAACACATAACAGTGTTTGTTGTAACGTGGCCTGTCTAATCACTAAGGCCACCATATTGTTTAAAGGGACCCCGAAACACTTTTTTGAGTAACCATGGAATCGATTCACTGGAAAAGAGTATTGCCTCACAAATTCTACTTGCAGAAATTTTAAGAATCTGTCCAATATGAGCGGAGTTACAAAGATTTCTCACATGGCGCAATTGCAATCTCTCTTTTCTGAACCCCGGCGAAAGCGCTGAAAGCTAAGCAGGGAGAGATGAGAGGGGCAAACAAAAAATGTCACGTGCACCTTATGACCTTGAGCACTTTTTTTTCTTCGAATATGCAGCTTTTTCAGTGCCATCGCGCGCGCACGCATGGCGAAGTCACGGCCTCTCGCGGCGATCTCTGTAACAATAGAGCGCAGCATGTTCTAATCAGCCAATGGCTAATAGATGGGTAATCTATGTGTGATTTTGGAGCACCTTCTGTCATTTTTCGAGGGAAGAGAAAGCAATCTTTAGCTGACTTTGATCATTTATTATGAATTCCAGGCCGCATGCTGTGCGATATTTGGCTCACGTGTTGTCTGCAACATCTACTACCGATCGACAGCATTTTCTGACCATGCTCAAAAAGTGTTGAAGGTCCCTTTTAAGCTGAAAGAGTGTGTTGGGGCCATGTATTTTGACTCCATTGATTGTTAGCGTATGTTGATCTAAGTCTCATACCTGAAGTAACACGCCATTTTGAGTGCATAACATTGGAAAGCAGCATTAGAAATGAAACTTAATTACTAAATGTATTATCCAGTGTATAAATTCGACTTCATAATCATCTCAGTTTCAGACGCATCTTCGGCAACACACAGTCATTCAATAATTCTGCATTGCCATGCGTCGTCGCAGTTTGTAATAGCCTTCCGGATGAAATTGTTTCTTTGAGAAATCCGGCCGAATTTCGTGAGCTACTGCAAATTTATATGTTCTCTTGATTTTGTATAAAGATGCTTTATTTTTTCATTTTGTATTTTGCTGCATTTGCTTATAGTGTTTGTTCTTCTTCCTTCCCTTGTACCATTTTCTTTGCTTTCTTCGATATATTTCTTTTTATGCTTTATGTATTGTCATTTTTCTGTAACCCCCCCCCCCCCCCTACTCAATGCTCCTCTGGGGCCTGTAGGGTAACATGAATAAATAAATAAATAAATAAATTGCACATTTGTTTACTCATTCAGCATGGTGAAAAGTGATTGCACACTCTTGTGTCAGTCAGTGATATACTCACACATGGCACTTAATTTTTATAAACCATAGAAAACGGACTTATACAGTTAAATCTCATTATAATGAAATGGGTTATAATGAAAAAGTGGGTATAATAACGAGCAAATCGTCATTCCCCTTGAAAGTCCCCGTAGAAACCAATGCATTGAAAACCACATTTTAACGAGGTAAAATTTGCTCTAATAGTATATAAAGAACAAATTTTATTAGGAAATGAAATTCTGAGCCAATGTCATGACAGCACACAACGCGAATTCGAGATGGTGCGCAACGTGACAACTGTAGCAGTTGAAAAGTACTGCCAAGCGTATGCTGTTTCTGGAGAAGAGTCTTGTACGGGCATTGCAAGTGCACCGCTTGGCTACCACCGACAGCCAAGGACTCCTCAACACTGCGAATGTCTCACCTTTTTCGTTTCTTTTGTGTCTTATGTTCTTCCTTTCCCCTTCTTCACGGCGCTGAGTCGTGCTCCCTAAAGGACTGTAGTAGAGAGTGCCCTTTCCACTTCTAATCACTCTCTCTGCACCAGACAGGTAGTTAAAGTGTATAACATTAGATCATAAGCCGGCTATGATAAAAGCCATTGAATCGGGAACAAAGAAAAGCAAAGTGACAAGAGACTTCAACGTATTGACGCGTACATTGTCAGCGATCTTTAGCAAGCAGGAGTCCATCATCAAAGATGTTTCATGTGGTGTGAATGGTAACATAAGAGAATGAGGGCTGCTGCGTTTTAAGCGGTTGAAAGGGCCGTTTTTAAATGGTTTTAGGTCAATAAATTTGCCAGTGAGCGGTGCCATGCTACAAACAAAAGCAAGAGACTTCGCCTGTGTCATGGGTTATGACAACTTCGTAGCAAGTTTGGGTTAGTTTCGACGCTTCAAGGAGCGCAACAATATCGTTGAAAGAATGGTCTGCGGCGAATCGTAGTCTGTCGACAAAGCAGAGGCTACGAAGTGGGTGAAAGATAACCATAGTGTGGATTCTGGAAACATGCAGTACAGAGGATATCTCAAACTAAAAAATTTCGAAATCAAAACTTGGCTTATGCAAAATACGATGTCATGAAACAACTTTCAAACAGAAAAGGCATTGTTTTTAATAACGCGAACACAACCGCTCTCTTTTTCAAGGTGTTGCGGCACAAGACTTCAGCCCCCAGGGGTGGGCCGTGCCATGGCAGCAAAGTAAGCTGTGGATCACTGCGCTACTTTGTGCCAACATGACTGGTTCTGAGAAGCTCTTAATTTTCGTGATTAGCAAAAGTACATCCTCCAGTGCTTCAAGCGGAAGAAGCAGCTCCCAGTCAAGTAGACGGCCAATCGCAAAGCCTAGATGACCAGGGAGATTTTCGCAAAATGGCTTTGCGAATGGGACGAGAAGCTGGCAAAGGCAAACCACAAGGTGTGCCTTGTTTTAGATAACTGCACTGCCAACCACACCGCTGCCACATTCCGTAACATCGAGCTTCTGTTCCTCTCTGCCAACTGCACAGCAAAAATACAGCTGCTTGACCAAGGCACGATTATGTTGCTGAAGGCAGGTTACCGCCAGCGCGTTATTGACAGGCTACGGCTCAACATTAGGTTCAAGCGGAACACTAATGTTGACTTGTACGTTGCGCTCGAAATGCTTCAAGCGGTGTGGGTGAGTGCGACGGCAGCCACAATTGCGAATTGCTTTCAGTACGCCTCATTTGCTGCCGCACCAAGCGCCAGCAATGTGCCATTGTTAAACGAGTCCGCTGCGCCGGACGATTTTGCCACATCAGACGAAGTCGCAGCACTTCGTCAAATGTGGCGCACAACACATCAGTTTGCAGCATGGCACTTCGTGATGCCGGTGTCTTGCCCGACAGAGAGTCGTTTTGCGACTATGTGAGTGCAGACTCGGAAGTAGTGGCTACGGAACAGCTCCACGATGATGACATTGTGTGGGCTGCCAACGATCTGGATGAGACCAGCGACGATAACTCGCGACAAACAAGAGACCAACGTGCAAGTGGCATCGGAGGCGTTAGACGCGGTAGATGTACTGCGTCGCTACTTCGGCGCTCACAAAGGCGGGGAAGATGGTTTGAACCTTGCAGCCACAGCCAGCGAGCCATCGTTTGCATCAGGAAGATGCATCAACCTCTGATTAACAACTTCTTTGCAGCTAAGTCTGTTTGAATTACGAGCTGTGTATTTTGAAGTCCAATAAAATAGGTGCACGACATTTGCTTTTTATTTGCAGAATGTGGTTATTTTGTTGCGTACCAATGCAGCGAGATGCTATTTAGACCATTATTTGTTTTGGGTTAGTACAGTACATAATAATTGCAACAAATGGCCCCTGTGGCTATCACAAAATATTGGTTATAACAAGCGAATCGCAGTGCTCATCCTTCAATGCACTGTTAAAAGCCCTGCTACTTTGGTGGCCTGCAACCATGGGGTTGCTTGAAAGTCCTCTGTACAACCTGTGCACTACTACCCTGTAAGCACCTTGAAGCACGTCGTTCACATTGCCTCTCTGGCGTTTTGTCTTGGACATGAATGCATGAACAATAATCACATCACGCTGAATGCACGCTTACTAAAGATAAATGGTGACCAGAAATAACGTGGGCGGCTGAACTGCTGAGTTCTAATATGAAAACTGATGATGATGATGATGATATTGAAGTGGTGTTTTAATTTTGTGGAGAATGGAGATAGATGATAGATGCTACAGAATCTGTGGAAACAAAACTTGTCTTATATGCTGGAAAATACAACACTAGGTTTTGTATTTGCTGATCCCAGGGTGGTGTCAAAGTACTTATCATATAAAGTTTTCGCTTTATA